GAAGGATACGCAGAATGAATGGGAGGTTATAAAAAAAATAAATTCTCTTAAAAAATTTTGGTTTTGAGTGGGTGTTATTGAGAAACTTACTTTAATATACATCATTTTATTGGGGGCTCGTACAATTCTTATCACAATCCATACATACACCCATTGTGTCAAGCACATTTGTGTATTTGTTGCCATCATCATTATCAAAATATTTGCTATTTGAGCCCTTGATATCAACTCTTCATCCCCCCCAACCCTTGATAATTTATGAATTATTATTATTTTGTCATGTCTTACACTGTCTGACGTCTCCCTTCACCCACTTTTCTGTTGTCCGCCCCCCAGCGAGGGGGGAGAAGATTACTTTTAAGAATATGTCTTGAGATAGATTTACTTTAGATAGATTTACTCAAGGATGGTTAGAGCAGTAATTCAAGTGCTGTGTCATTGCCATCTCTATTTTTGGCTCACATAAGGAGTTCTTTTAGGACCAGACTTCAGCAGACATCATGCTGTTTGTATCACATGGCTGACAGTGGGAGGATCTGGCGTAGTTTATTCTTCCTGTAGAAATAGATTTAAATTCATTTGGGCAGGCAGGTGCCTGTTTGCAGATCCAAAATGCCTTCTGGACTGAACATGGGCTGCCTGGATAGTTCATGTAAGTAAGCTAGGCTTTGAGTCTTGTTTGGCCAGTTTTATGTATGTGAATGTGTGTGCGCTTATTATGTATGCCAGGTTTTTCTATTTAGAGAACAGAGCTCCTTAAAGTAGCAGTAGGAAAAGGAATTCTTTGTTTTGTTAGGAAGTAAAATGTAACCTTCCACCTCTATCAGTGGGTTCTTCCTTGTTAGAATGTCACTGAGTGACTTTATCAGCTATTCTAGTCATCAGAGTGCTCTCTTGCATGAATCCTATGATGACCGGGACAAATGGTGGTTCTGAACAGAACCCTGCCAGCACAGAAATTCCACCAGTTCATAATAGTACAGCTGTTGGCTTTGAAGTGTATAGGGAAGTACCTGAGGGTGGGAGGTGAATATATCACAGAGGTATGGAGGTTATTGCTCAAGATCGTTAAGATTTTGTTGTTTCTTACCATTCCCCATACCGGTTGTAAGAGGGCAGGGAGAATTTAGATTTGCCTCTGGATCTTAAGAGCCGGTGAACTATATTATATATTAGATGTTAGCTAATTTCCCTCCAGGTTCTTAAGGAAGATTTGGTTTTGTTTTCAGATGAAATACTATTTTGAGTGAAATACAAATCAAGGTTTCCTGATTAAATAAATTAAAAACAAAATGCTGCCACCAGACAAAGTTAACTTGATTCTGTTAGACTGCTGACTCATGAGAGGCAAATCTGAACAATTAAGTCACCGTTTTCTAACTGAAAGCTTGTAAAGCAGACTCTAAAACTCTGTGGAGTATGAAATCTTTATGATTCAGGCTACCCTTCTCACCATTTCAGAGTATAAATGGCCCTGGGACTGGCTGGGACGCTGGATCCCTTCCAAACCCGAGGAACAAGTATTGCGTTTTGGCCAAGCACTCTCACTAATATCATGGGATTGCAGTTCAGTGCTGGCTTCAGAGTGTGTAATTTAAATCAATCACGAAAAAAAAAAAGAAGAAAATAATAGTAGTGCAGAGATCGTTACAGTCTGTCTTGTCCCTCACTAACTCTTCCACCAAAAATAAAAACAAACACCAAAATAGGACAGGAGAGCAAGCAGAACATTTAAAATGAGCATTACAATCTCTTACTTTAAGACTTATTATTAAGAGTTTATGTATTAAATGTGTTGTCTGAAGCATTTTCCTCTGACAAACAAGATGAAAACTAATTTTGTTTCTAAACTAGTCAAGGTCACTGAGAGCAGCCAGCATTTTGAAAGATGTCAAGCTTGCCTTTGCATTATAATACCTCCCTTTCCCTAATCTCCAATCTGCTCTGTTCTCTGAAATGTTGTATGTTATGAAATTATGTTTCTCCCTTATCACACTGGAACAAACAAAAAAACCCCCATACTTTTAATGAAAGCTCTCTCTGGGATTAAGAGGGAAGTTGTTGATAAACGCCAAGTTCACAGTAAATGGTCTCTGGGTGGTGCAAATGGTTAACACCCTTGCTTGGCTACTAACAAAAGGTTGGCAGCTTGAATCTACCCAGAGGTGCCTTGGAAGAAAGATCTGGTGACCCACTTCTTTAGGATTACAATCATAATTAAAAATTAAAATCGTAGGGAGTTCAGTTGCTGTGAGTCAGAATCATCTTAATGGCAGTCAGTGGATAGATTCACATTAAAAAGAAAAACCCAATTCACTGCCATCAAGTCTGTTCTGACTCAGCAACCCTGGAGGACAAGGTAGAACTGCCAACTGCCCAAGTGAGTTTCTGAGATTGTAACACTGGGAGTAGAAAGCCCTGTGTGTGTCTCCCTTGGAATAGCTGGTGGTTTTCAAACTCCTGACCTTCTTAGCAGCCTAACGTGTAGCCACTATACCACCAGGGTTCCCAAATTCATGCTAAGGTGTTGTAAAATGATGGTCCTTCCAGCAATTTAAGCCCTCTCACCCCTTTAAAATTGTGAAGTAGAATTATCCATACTTTTAACAGAGACAGTGGTGGTTGCCACCAATGAATATTGGCATAAATTTGGATAATATGACTGCATGAAATGAAAATATTACAGCACTTAGGAAAGGTGAGTATGGGGCTTGGAATCAGGCTTCTGTGCTTGCTTTTCTT